CCCTTTCTGCTTGAGTCCTTTTAATTCTGCATGGGTGCTGGGATGCGTAATGATACCCGCGAAATTTTCACAAAAAGCTCTTTGCATGTCCTCCCAATTTCTGATTGACCCTGGATTTAATTTGTCGAACCATTGGAGGGACATGGTTTCTAGGGCCATGGGAAAGAACAGGGTCTTGATATCGTCATCTCCTCCGGCTAGTTCAATCGATTGCGAGTATATCCTAAGCCACTGCCTTGGTTCAGTCTTGCCATCATACTTAGAGTGGTTGGACGGCTTGAACTTGTGAGGTAGTCGTATTGAAGCAAGTCTGTTTGCAAAATAGGGGAATCTATCGTGCGTTCCGGTTTCTTTGTATTCTGATTTGGCATCTCCTTCTGGCCAACTTTTGTTTTGGTGAGACTAGTTCTGCGAGGTTGTCTGAGCAGGTGCTTTGCTTCTGGTCTTTCTTGGTTGTTCAACTCGGTAGCTTTGACTATGGTCCCTTCTACTTTCTCTGTTGTGACTTCCGCTTGGTCCAAGTCTCTCGAAAGCGGACTTCCTTTGATTTTGATCTTCTTGCCTATGAGACATTGATCTGGTGGGTAGTCTTAAGCGGGCCTTCCTTCGTGCATCCTCAGGGCTATTGACCGGAGAAAATCCCGGAGCTGTTCTTGTTTTTCACTGGGATGTGAGGTCGCTCTGAGTTCTTCTAGTGCTTCTCGGATCTTATCGTAGGGTGTATTTGCCGTGCATCTTTCTTCGACTTCTCGTTCTGATTTTCTTCTATTGTAGTCGGCCAGTTCTGACTCATATCTGACCTAAGCTTCCTTGCGCTGCCTAGCACAGTTTTGGCGTCCTTGTTTCAACTTGTTTTTTCTTTCTCTGGCTTGCTTCTGATTCTCAGTCTCACCATCATGCCCCTAGGTAAAGGGTGATATGTTGGACTCAGATTCATCCGATGACCTAACGTCGGGTACTTCTGGGGGGACCAATGGTGATCGAGGATGGCGAACCATGAATACTTCTCATGCGTGAATTGTTCTGCTATCAGCGTCGGTTTCCACACTGTCGGAGTTGTTGATAACTTTAGTAGAGGCTTCGAGGTCGCAGATTGAGTCTCCTTCTTGGTAGGGTAGAATTGTTGTCGTCATCGTGTCGACTAGTCGGGTTCCGCTATACTCAGGAACAGAACCTGGCTAGTGGACGATGCAGTCTTGAGATGTTATAGTCAGTATCAGACCTTCCTCAGCTCCCTCCAGTGGCATTCTAATCACCGGATCAGGGGATCCTTCAGGCCGTGCCTGATAAGATGTTGCCGTGTTGTGGAGTCCGAACGGAAAAAGACCCGACTTCTTGAAAAGACTCTGATTGTACTTCGAGTTGTATTCTTAATAGGACAAAGCCGCGTTCTTAAGCCCCATTGGAAAAGAACTCGGTTTCTCAGAAGAACTCGGGTAAGACTCCATTTCGGATGCAGAACCTGAGTTCGAGTTGGATGCACAAAGTCGCGAAATCTGAAACGAATCGGACATCGCGAGCTGCGCGAATCTTCCAGTGAGTTGACCTGTCGTAGTCGCTGAAATAGAACGGTCTTCATGGTGATTCGAATCTTCAAGGAGACGGCTTTGGAGCTTGCCATTGTCGTCCGCCTCGCAGATCCATGAGCCGAAGATGAAGGTTGATCTCGTCGAGAAGATCATGCTATCGAGGTCCATCGAGCTCTTGGATGCAAATTCGCCGAAAGCCCCTATCTGGCGTGCCAACTGTCGATGTTTGACCACCGATAGCCTGCCACGGGGTTACCTGGGGCAGTATGTTCGGGTTTCAACGTATGCGGAACTCGACGATGAACGCAAGAGACAGTCGATTTATCCTGGTTCGGACCCTCGATCGTTGATCGAGTAATAGCCCTACGTCCAGTCGGCGTTAGCCTTTTGCGTTGGATTTGATTGTCAAGTGTTGTGTTGTTCAGTCCTCTCTCTAGGAACCCTGCCCTCCTTTATATAGTTAGGAGGCCAGAATCCTAGTCGGTTTACAATGAGAGTTCCTAGTAAGATTACAGAATAATACTATTAAGATTATATGGGGAGAATCCTAGTTAGACTAGAACTTCTCCCTTTCTAGCGGGGTATCCCGTGGGTCCCGCACCGACAGGAATCAAACCGTTTTAGAAGAGGTGACACATCATATGTCCATTCCTCAAATTTGGTCGAATGACTATATTATAGTCCTCATAGTATGACTAGTTATTAGCTTATGAGGAATTGGAGGTGATGGATCAACCCACTCCATTCCAGGAACCAAACAAAAAAAAGTCTAGAGTGGAAAGATGATGGACTAACTCATTTCTCAGAGTAAACACTTTATAAATTTCTCTAAAAACTTCTAGTAATCTAGTACTTATAATATATCATTAAAATTGCTAAATCATGTAGGAGAATGGACTATATAGGGCCATATGGGGGTAATAATATAAAAACGAAGGTTGATTCGTTATCTGGACTAGCAAACATAATATGACAATATATTATTAAGTCTCTATCAAATTAGAACACAACCTTGATAGAGTTTTTCTCCTATTCTAAGGCACAAAAGTATTAATGGTAAATACATAGCTTTAATTTTCATACTATTTAGGTGTTGGTAGAGTTAAATATAAGTTATTCGCAACTTTCTTTGAGGATTCATAAATATGTAATTCCACTATCTTATTAAAGTCGCCAAGATGGCAATGAATTGGTCGATGTCATGTCAAGGATTGGTTTGACCGTTGATGACTACGACAAAAATCTCTTCTGATTTTCCACATGCTGGTTCTCGTTGAGAATGGATTTATTTAGATTAGATTTGATAAGATAATGCTCAAGATTTCACTTGATGCCTTTACGACTTGCTTACTTAGACCATCGGCTAATCCTCTAACAAAAATAAATTCTATTTCTAACCAAAACTACAACAACTTAGTGTGAGAATATTTGTTTATTATTGAAGGTTTAAGAGTTCAAGTACCAATAATATTGTATTTATTTTTTATTTTTTATTTTTATAAGGAAAAAAGATACTTAGGGAAAACGAAAAAAGGTATAAATGTATGGGCAAGTGGCCAAGCAGTAAAAAAAACGAAAAAAATGAACCTCCATCCAAAATGTGGCGAGTGAACGTGGTACCGAACGTTCCGTCGGGGCGAGTGGAGACAGGTGATTGGGCTGACGCGGCCACACGGAGGAGAAAGGCAAAATAGTTATTTTGGTCCTTCAACTATTACTCGAGATTTAATTTTATCTTTAAACTTTTAAAACGGTCGTTTAAGTTCTTAAACTTTAGTTTATGGATCAATTTCATCCTACAACTATGAAGATGATCGTTTTAGTCCTCAAACTTTATATTAAACTATCAAAGTGCATTTAACTTTTATTTTCAACTCAATTTTGTCTATTCAAAAAGAGAACCTTATATTTTAGACACAATTTCATCCATAAATTATCAAAATTATATATCTACTATTGTTTCAATACATCCATATATTCTATGAATAAACAATGTTCGATGCAACTGTAATTGCTCCCATAATATCATTTAGTCGGATATATAGATCGGATATACATAAATGGTACCATCGTAAGGTAACTCTAAAAATAACAGCTTGAAATTATTAATGATCACGAAAGAGTTTTTGGATGAATATTATTTTTCTATCTCCGATCGCTGATGGTGTTCGAGTTAACCAGGTGCAACAGTACAGCGTTCCACGTAGAACGTAGACAACGTTGTGTTGAAAATAAAAGTTTAAAGAACAAAATACACTTTGATAGTTTATAAATGAATCAAGCCCAAAATGTAAAGTTCGAGGATTAAAACGATCATCTTCATAGTTTTAGGATGACATTGAGCCTAAAAGTAGAGTTTGAGGACTAAAACGGCCGTTTTAAAAGTTCAGGGACAAAGGCCCTATTTAGTTCCAAGCCAAAAACCCAAAATTTTCAAGATTCCCCGTCACATCAAATCTTGCGGCACATGCATGGAGTACTAAATGTAGACGAAAAAAAAAACTAATTACACAGTTAGCCGAGAAATCGTGAGACGAATCTTTTAAGCCTAAATAGTCCATAATTGGACATTTTTTGTCAAATAAAAACAAAAGTGCTACAGTAGCCAAAAGCCAAAAAATTTCGGAACTAAACGCGGCCAAAACCGAGTCTCGAGAAATAGTTGAGGGACCAAAATGACTATTCTGCCGAGGACGAACATGGGAAAAGGAAGCGGTGTTCATTTCGGTTCCCTACCGACACCACGTGAAGTTGTGTGCGTTCCACCCGACGGAAACAAAAACGAACGTGGGAGAGAAGCGGGTGGCCGAGGTGCCGAGCCATTGGCTGATTAGGCCAGACAAAAAAATATAGCAGAAATTTTGGCTCTTTAATATTAGGTATATATAGATGCATGCATCTATGCAAATAACAACTTGTTCCACCAATCAGTTTTTTTTTTGGCGAAGGTTCCACCAATCAGTTTGATATACAGGGCAATTTCAAACTTGAAGTCAGCCTCTACGATCTCGAGTGGACCACTGGATCCAGTCAAGAAAGTCACAAGCCTTCAAGTTATTTTGCATTTCCAAGTCAACACTTGGCCCAGTCAATCTTCTTCTATGGCGTTCTGTTCAGCTGTCAGCACGGTCAATCTGAGTTCGCTGCTGCCTAGCAAAGGGCGGGACCTCCTCAGTGTCACGGCGACATTTGTCACCGAATCTGCATCCCCAGCAAGACTCCATACATAATTAGAGAGGGGGACTTAAACGCTGCTGTTTTTGGTGTCCTTTGGCCAATATTCTCAAGTTTTCTTGACGACTTCGGCATTGCAATTTTTCTTTTTTATAAACTACCGCGGTGCACCTTTCTTGACCAAGTCTCAGATTCTTCCATGGTCGTGTCTACTCTTCTTGGCTATGCTTCCATTGATCTCTCCGGCCTCTGTGGTACAAATCCATCTTTTTCCGACACACCGTTCTACTGCCGGACATGGAAGCCGTCGATAATTCACGCCATGATCAAGATCACCGCGCCGCTGCAGCGTTCAGTGTCGAGCTGGAGGTAGAGCACGTCGGAGAGCGCAAGAATGGCGCCGCCCCCGCCCGTACCGTCCTCGAGCAAGAAGAACCCGAGACAAGAACAGAAGGCCGGCGGCGACCTGGTCGCGCGCGGCGCCTCGCCCGGAGGCTCCACCCGGCGACCGTCGCGCGCGCGTGCTGGCGCTGGTTGAAGCACCCGGCGCACCTCGCCCTGGTCGCGTGGGCGCTCTGCGTGGCGGCGTCCGGCTCCATGCTAGGGCTCCTCCTCCTGGGATCCCTCAACGGCGCCTTCCCTCGGAGGTCGGTCCGCAACCGGTGGATCGAGATCAACAACCAAGTGCTCAACGCGCTGTTCACGCTCATGAGCATCTACCAGCACCCCGCGCTGTTCCACCACGCCGTCCTGCTGCTCCGGTGGCGCCCCGGGGACGCCAAGGTGCTCAGGGAGGCCTACTGCCGGAAGGGCGATGGCGCGGGCGTCCGGCGCGGCGAGCGGGTTCACATGTCCGTGGTGGTCGCGCTCCTGCACGCCGCATGCTTCTCGCAGTACGCCATGTGCGGGCTCTACTGGGGGTACTCGCGCAGGGCACGTCCGGATGACGCCCTGACCTCGCTCACCGTGGTCGGCACCGCGACGCCGGCGATCGCCGGCCTGTACATGTACTTCAGCCCGCTAGGGAGGAACCGCGGGGGACGGAGCGTGCACCAAGAGCCCAACGAACGTTCAGCAGCCTCCTCCGACGACAACGGTGGGATTGTCGCGGTTGAGGTGGCGGTCGGCGCGGAATGGGCCGGCAGTCTTCTCGACGTTGGCGACGACCCGACGGCGTGCTGGCTCTCGTGCCTCTGCACGTTCTGCGTGTTCGGGTGGAACATGGAGCGTCTGGGCTTTGGGAACGCGCACGTGCACACCGCCATGTTCGCGCTGCTCTGCTTCGCGCCGCTGTGGGTGCTCAGCGCCGCCGCGCTCAGCATCCGGGACGACGACGTCAGCTTCGCGGTTGGCGCGACGGGGGTGGTCCTCTGCGCGCTCGGCCTGCTCTACGGCGGGTTCTGGCGCGCGAGGATGCGGCGGAGGTACGGGCTCCCTTCCACCAACGCGTGCTGCGCCGCCTCGCCATCGCTCGCTGACTACGGGCAGTGGATGTTCTGCTGGAGCTGCGCGCTGGCGCAGGAGGTGCGCACCGCCGACATCCTCCTCGACGTCGAGGCCGGAAGCGTCAACCGCCCAGACTCCGAGGGCCGGCGAGTTGATGCTGCTGATGCGCAAACTCTGCAGCCTTTGCCGAGGGAGAGTGGAGTCAAGTCGTTTCATCAGGGAGGGTCTTCCCATCTTGCAAAGTCGGAGACAATCGACACCCACTCTGTTCAGCTGGCGAGTTACTCGACGAGTCGAGGCGACGAGTCGCCATTGCTGCTGCACGATCAGGGGAGCAGTGCTTCTTCGGGAGAAATGACGCCTCCTGTGCCGCCATCGATACCAGAAGGAGAACGTCGATGAGTTCAGTAATTACAGAGTAGTGGTAATACATCGAGCTGCGCTCCAGGAATGCCAGTATGTGTGTACAGATTGCAGAGTCCGCGTCCTTTTTTTTTTGCCTTCACTTTTCCTTTCAACTTATTTCTCTCGGAATTCAGATGTTTGCTCTAATCTTGTGTTTTTAGTTTTTGAATCGACGAGTAAAGAGGAACACGATATCCATGTTCAGTCAAACAATTGGGCCAAAAAGCACAGCTCAGTGTTCGTGGGAAGCCATCGTTTGAAGTAAAGCGGGACATTGATCCAAGGCAACGGACTTCAATGGATTATTACAAGTCCCTCTTCGTGAGTTGCTTTCCTATGTGGCCTAACTAGTGTTGGCTAGCGCGGACAATGTGACCAACCATTAGGGGAGGTTGGAGGCAATGTTGGCTAGCTTGGGAGGACCATCAACTCGTACTTGCACGTGCTATGATTGTAGATTAAATAAACAGAAGTATAAAATGATTATGTTTATTAGTGACTACTACTCCCTCCATTCTAAATTATAATACGTTTTGCCATTTCTAGATACATAGCTTTTGCTATGCACTTAGGTATACACTATACCTAGATGCATAGTTAAAGCAATACATCTAAAAAAGCCAAAACATCTTATAATTTAGAACAAAGGGAGTACCTCCCTTCTCAGAAGAATGCAATTCTACCTTTACCCTGAGTTAAATCTTAGTGTCAACATTTACTTGAAATTATATTCCATGGTAAGTTTAGTGACACTTATTGATATTATAAATATAGATATATTTTTTTATAAGATTGACTAAACTTGAGATTGTTTGACTTTTGATATAGTATTCTTTTAGATGGAGGGTTAGGAATAATCAAAATAATTTAGCATTGCGCGCATACTCATTGTTCATTTTTTTAACACAATACCTATATAAAATTTGCAATCTCTATCTAATTGGTGATGAAATTATCAATTACTCTATATAATTTTCCATATGTATCCATAACTTTCCTCCTCCATGGAGGCATTTGATACTACTACAGAACCCACAACTCCCATTAGTCCATCACTGTTGTGTGTGCTAGAGCCACAGCAGTGATCCAACTTCACTGTTGGGTCTTAAGACTAGAGCCAAACAATGATTCGTTCCCTATTGACCCGTCAGTGAAGGCGTCTATCATTGTTGGCTCTAGCCATGAACTAACAATGATGTGAGGAATATCATTGCCAGGTTAGGCAACAACCAGACAGTGATATTCCTCTTCCAGTTCATGGCTGGACTCGACAATTGTATTAGTATTGGCAATATCACTGCTAGGTTTCGATAGACCTGGCATTATCCTAGCTACAGTATAAATCCGCAGCCACCTTCTTCCTGCCCCTCCTAGACTGGGCACACCCATCCTTTTTTTTTGACGACTGGGCGCACCCATCCAAGGAGGCATATTTCTCCATATCTTTCTCCATTATTGTTACAACCATTTTTCACCAAAATGCTCATGGTGGGATTTGTTTTCGAAGAATGAACATGTTCTCCTTTGTTTAAGGTGGGTAACTAGCAATTCTTTAAATTTATAGCCTGTTTCGTTGGTTATATTGTTTTTTATTGTCATGCTTGCTCTTTCTCTATTATAGAGAGCATAGTTCAAAGCATCCTTCACGAAGGCATTCGAATTCTAGTGAATCTATTTGGTGGCCAGTAGTTTAAAGTTAGTAGCTAGTTTGGTTCGATTTTTGGAACACTTGTGCATTTCTATAACTTTTTGCTTCAATGACAGCGACAAAGAGCTTGGTTCTAAGTTGCTAGAGTATAAGATTATAGAAATACAAGAACAACTAGCTGGGTTTATCATGGATGAGATGGTCGTAGAGAGGATGGAAAGTTTAACATTTTATTTGAGCCCCTAAATCGAAGTGATTTATTTGTTGGAGAACTCGATCTCCGACAGGTACGAAACGGTGACGTCTTCGCCTAGGCAGAGGCCACAGGCGAAGGCTGAGAAAGTCGTAGGTGGGCCCTAACTCAATTAGGGTTTCATAAATGAATTCACCAACCTTCCCTTACACAGGGTTCAAGTCCCCCTTTTATAGGACACTGTTTGCTACCTTCCCACTTTACATCTTTGCCCCCCGACAGCTGGGGCACATTCTGAGAATATCCCTCCCGCTAATACAAACTGCTAAGGGTAGCCTAGGTATACTTTTCTTGAACCGCCTCTGCTTCTTGGGCCGTGTCAGCATGCCTGCAAGGGGCCCACAGCCCAGTATCGTACTTCCGCGGGAACTTTCTCCTTTCTGGCAGAGGTTTTCAAAGGTTCTTCGTGATCTCCGCCCTGGAAGCTTTCTCCTGAGCCTCCCTCTCACTGCTCGGTCCGTCGCCTTCGCTGATACCACCGGAGCCTCCGCCTAGTGCCAAGCCCGGCAAGCCTCCGTCGCAATCCATCGACCTTTGCCGAGCGGGGCTGCAGGGGCGAAGGCCTCTGGTTGATTTCCCTGCACATCAGTGATGCAATCGGTTAAAGTTAGTGTCTAGTGCTGTAGTGCGCCTTAGTCTCCACGGCTCATATTCGTGCCCCAACAGCTCCCCCTTGAGGGCATGGTCTGACGCAGGTGGGCCTTGTTCCTCAATCTCATTCGAGGTTATTGAGCTGTGGAGGCTTATGCGCGAGCGGAGGCTTCCCCCTTCCCCCCTGGGACGCGCTGTGTCAGACCTCTTTCGTTTTAATGTGCTCTCTTTTGATTGGACACGACGGCTCTAGAACTGATGCACTATGGAGCGGATGCGACCGTTGGGCGTGGAAGTTAAAGCGTCGGTTCGATGGCTATACAAGGGGGGGAGGTGAAGGCTCCCCCATCCCCATCCGAGCCATCGCTTTCGTTGTCGTTGCTTTCTAAGTTCTTTCTTTGTCCTTAGTCTTCACTTAGTTGGCGCTTGCCTTCGCTTTTCTTTTGTTCATCCTGAGTCTTGGAAGTGGCTTAGCCTGTTAGTCCTCCTCCCCGCCGGGCTACTTTCTTCAGTCCGTACCGCCGTCTTCTCGGTGTTACGGCGAGTGGGTGGTCTGCACATTTTGAGGAGTGTATGGTTGCTAGTGTGGAGGTGTAGGGCCTTGAGGATGATCTTGCTAGTGTTGAAGCCTCCGTCGCTGACTTGATAACTATTGAGGAGGCTGGAGATATGGTTGGCCCATCTAGGACATGTGATTTTGGGTCTTAGCTGATGATGAAGGACATGATCAAGGAATTGTGGAAATTGGGCTGCTTTGGTGAGCCTAAGGTGAAGCCTCCACAAGGAGACACAATTCCTAAGCCACAAGCTGCTGACGTCGTGGTCTTCAAAGATTTTTTTCTTTGTGGCCTTTGCTTTCCTGCATCAAGTTTTGGAACCATTTGAGGTACAGTTGCATCACCTTACCCCCAATGGTATCGTCACTTTGAGTAAGTTCTATTGGGCCTGTTTGTCTTATGGTGCAGAGCCCAATGTTGGTACCTTCTACGAGTACTACAAGCTCCAACAGTCAGCCTAAACGGGTGGACGAAGGCCAGTGGATAGCCTAGTATGGGAGCCGCGCTTTCATACCGAGGAGGAATCAGAAGGGTGAGAATTTGGAAATTTCTTTTGCTCAGAAGAACAAGTGGTCAAAGGATTGGATGCAATACTAGTTTTATGTGAGGACAGGCGATCTAACCTCCACTAGTGATGATGGGAGGAAGAATACTCGGCATCCGCTGGCTTCCGTGATGACCCGATGAAGCCTTCGACTCAAGGGACTCCAGGGCCAGGGACTACTAATGGGTGCGAAGCCTGTGATAAGGCTTTTGCTTTGGCTTGCCGATACTCTGGAGGTCGGGATCTAGTGGAGGAGATGGTGGCGGCTAACTGTTGGCCGCTTGGCAGGAAAATGCCTACCACCTATTGAGATGGTACACCTTCTGGTTTTTGGCGAAGGTGTTAGGGTTCCCTTCCCCCAGTTTGGCTTTCAGCGGAAGGAGGGTGGAGCTACTGAGAACTTTGTGAAGTCTATGGAGGCGGGGACGCATGAGATACTCGATGAGATGTTCGATAAGGAGTACCTGGCATGCAGAGCCATCGCTAGTTCGATGCCCCGTCTCAATAGGGTTTTTGAAGAGTTTGGGATTCACCACGAGGAACATGATGTACCTGCGAAGGTGCATAAGTCCCTTGAAGACAAGACGAAGAAGGCCGCCGCCAAGAACGTGATTGCTGCAGCTGAGGCAAAGAAAAGAAAGGGACTGGTGCATCTAAGGTTATCAGTAAGAAATAGAAAACTGCGACCACCTCTACTGCCTCCGCTAGTGTCGATGAGGAAGTTGCGGAGAATGTTGGCGGAGGCTCTGCTTCTGCAGGTGCTGGGATGGAGGGCGAGCATTCTACCACCTCTACCGATCTTAGCGACGCCACCTTTGTTGAGGCTGCCCTCCAAGGAATGGGTGGTGGTCCTACTGCTGAAGCCTCCACCGTGGCGCCTATGCCTGGCATCTTGGGCGATTATTCATCTAGCTCCAAGAGCGAGGACGGTGATGGTGGTGATGCCTCCCCCTCGAAAGATGCTGATGTTGGGGGTACGGACTGTCGCCCTATGAAGGCTCCTCTAATTGAGGAGTCTAGAGATGAATTGGAACAAGAGTCTCCTCCGGCACAACCTTCGAACCCGACGCTCCTAGTTGGTACTCATCGGGAGGAGGACAGAGAGATGGATGCAGTGCAATGTACTTTATTTTTGAGTAAGTGTTCTATGACTTTTACTCCTTTTTCTCTATGTTTTAGTTTGATGCCTATCTTTAAGCTTCTCTTGCTTTGGCTTTGTCAAGTGACCTAGCCAAGGCTATGGAGACTCCATTGCCTGGGGAGGTGCCTCCTGTGGCTGGGCTGGACCTTGCCTGGGTCAGTTTGGGTGCCATTTTGAAGGCACCTTTGTTGGCAGGTGGAGCAGGGCCTTCAAACCCTGGCTAAGCCAGCGGCGAAGGTCTGATCATTTTTAATCCCTAACGT